GGTCTGTTTACTGCAAGTTGTGATATGTTGAGTTTTTGTTGCTATTCCTTGCGGTTTGCACAGTGAACACCCAAGTGTGCTTTATAGTTCCCTTGGCTTTGACTCTGTGCTAGAGCAATGTCTGTTCTTTTCCTCTGCATTGAAAGGACTGTTCATCCTTTTAAATGTATTCATAAAGTCAGCACATTATATTTTATTAAATGATAGGAATGACCCAGAATAAATCTTCAAAAATATACTTTATCGTGAACATAGTGGCATCTAATTGGAGAACTCCAGGGTTAGTGGTGGTTTTATAATTGTCTTCATTATAGGGTCTTCATCCCAGAATAATAACAGAAGGATTTGAAGCTGCAAAGGAAAAGGCACTTCAGTTTTTGGAACAAGTAAAAGTAAGCAAAGAGATGGACAGGGAAATACTCATCGATGTGGCCAGAACATCCCTGCGTACTAAAGTTCATGCGGAACTTGCTGATGTCTTAACAGAGGTATGTGTTGAATTAAAAGCCCCTGATTTTATTTACTTATTTATTTTTAATATATTTTATTGATTTTTGTACAGAGAGGAAGGGAGAGAGACAGAGTTAGAAACATCAGTGAGAGAGAGTCATCTATCAGCTGCCTCTTGCGTACCCCCTGCTGGGGATATGCCCGCAACCAAGGTACATGCCCTTGACCGGAATCGAACCCGGGACCCTTCAGTCCCCAAGCTGACGCTCTATCCATTGAGCCAAACCGGTCCTGAGCCCCTGATTTTAGAACCATCAGTATACTTACCAATTTCATTATAGATTGTTCTCTGAAGTCTTCATACGTGACAAAGTGGGTTCATTCTGTGGCAGTGATAATCTGATCGGTGTCCTTCAAAAAGTAAAGTGAGAAATTCAAATAATCATATACTTGACCAGGTTATAATCAGAGCTTTCATTAAAAGTTTTATAATTGGAGATTTTGTTATTTATGTTAATAAAATAGTAGGAGGGATGTCTGATTCTTTAGGTAATGACAAAATTTAATTTTCAGAAATATAAATGACTTCAGCCCTTTGCAAATGTATTTTTTTTTAAATATATTTTATTGATTTTTTACAGAGAGGAAGAGAGAGGGATAGAGAGTTAGAAACATCGATGATGAAAGAGAATCATCGATCAGCTGCCTCTTGCACACCCCCTATTGGGGATGTGCCCGGAACCAAGGTACTTGCCCTTGACCGGAATCGAACCCTGGACCTTTCAGTCCGCAGGCTGACGCTCTATCCACTGAGCTAAACCGGTTTCAGCTGCAAATGTATTCTATTAGGTCAATTTGAAGAATGTTAAAGTCAAGAAACTGTCTAAATTTTGTAAAACAAGTAACAAGCATCTTGACTTCTGCAAATCAAATTCATTTAATGATTATGCTCTTATTGTAGGCTGTAGTTGATTCCATTTTGGCCATTAAAAAACAAGACGAACCTATTGACCTCTTCATGGTTGAGATCATGGAAATGAAACATAAATCTGAAACTGATACAAGGTAGGTGGTAGATTGCTGTGAAATGCTTATGAAGTGTGTTGTGTGTACAAATAGGCGCTTTATACAACACATTTTTTTTTGGCTGACGTGTGTGTGTTTGAATTAATATATATTGCCTAGATGAATATTTAATTTACTCAGTAATATTTACTCTTGAAGTTAATGGTATAATGTGTTAATAGTCAGAATTATCCAGAAAAGTGAGCTACATCGGTTGTTTGGCATTTATTGAACTGCTGGATACAAAACCTAATGGGAGAATTATATATTTCAAAGATCTAGCTTGAAAACATTTTAAAAATAATTAGATATTATAAGAAATGTTTTTAAAATATGTTTTTTATTTTAGAGAGGAAGGGACAGGGATAGAGAGATAGAAACGTTGATGTGCGAGAAACATTGATTGGCTGCCTTTTGCACACCCCCTACGAGGTATCGAGTCTGCAACCTTGACCTGGAATAAAATTGATGATCTCTCAGTTCATGGGTCAGTGCTCAACCACTGAGCCACACAGGCTGGGCTGAAAGTCAATAACAATATAATGTGTTTTTAAAATTTATTTCTGAGTTATAGTTAACAGACAATATTAGTTTCAGTTATGTAACATAGTAATTAAATGTTTGTATATACCATAATTTTTAATATATTTTCACAGCTTAATCAGAGGTCTTGTTTTGGACCATGGGGCACGGCATCCTGATATGAAAAAAAGAGTAGAAGATGCATACATCCTTACATGCAATGTGTCATTAGAATATGAAAAAACGTGAGTTTGTATTCTCTTACTAATGGAATCGAGAAGCAGGGAAGCTTGGTATTTTGGGCAAGTCACTTCTTTGTGAGACTCAGTTTTTTTCACTGTATAGACAATGCCTCAAATTGGGTTTGGGAGAATTCTAGGAATAAACTCATAATAAACCAGGGGCAGATCAGAATTAACAGGCTATTTGTTAAATAAAATAAACATTCTAACACACACCCCTCCACTTTTATTTTTAATAGAGAAGTGAATTCTGGCTTTTTTTACAAGAGTGCAGAAGAGAGGGAGAAACTAGTAAGAGCTGAAAGAAAATTCATTGAAGATAGAGTTAAAAAAATAATAGACCTGAAAAAGAAAGTCTGTGGTGACTCAAATAAAGGTTTTGTTGTTATTAATCAAAAGGTGAGAATGACTTTTGCTTTATAAACTAGTCTGTATCCATTTTGATTTTTCAGGTGAAATATTTTAAAACTAATTTGTTGTTGTTGTTAACAGGGAATTGACCCATTTTCCTTAGATGCTCTTGCAAAAGAAGGCATAGTAGCTCTGCGCAGAGCGAAGAAAAGGAACATGGAAAGGTACGGTGGAGAGCAGTTCACTGAGGGATGTGAATCTGTGCGTTAACTGAGATGATTCCTTTTCCCCCCTCAACTTATTTTTGCTTTTACTTTTGATAAAATACACATAATACAAGATAGACCATTCGCGCCCCCCCCCTTTTTTTTAAATATATTTTATTGATTTTTTACAGAGAGGAAGGGAGAGGGATAGAGAGTCAGAAACATTGATGAGAGAGAAACATCGATCAGCTGCCTCCTACACACACCCCCACCCCCACCGGGGATGTGCCCGTAACCAATGTACATGCCCCTGACCGGAATCCAACCCGGGAACCTTCAGTCCGCAGGCTGATGCTCAATCCACAGAGCCTACCCAGTCATGGCCCATCCCCCCCCACCCCTTTTTTTTTTAAGTGTAAAAAATTTAGTGGCATTAAATTATATTCACATTGTTGTGCACCCACCACCATTACCCATTTTCATAATTTTTTCAGCATTGCAAACTGAAACTACCCATTAAACCACATGTGTCAAACACAAGGCCCGCAGGCCAAATCCGTCCAGCCAGGCCTTGCAATGTGGCCCGCACCGCGCTGTCATCACTGCACTCCGCTGCGTTTCCATCACAATGACAGTTTATGACTGTTCAGTAAACCATTCGGCCCGCGATTTAGGCTGGATTTTAGATTTTGGCCCCTTCTCTGATTGAGTTCGACACCCCTACGTAATTCTCCATTTCTTCCCTCACTGCTTCCCCTGTAAATACTGTTCTGTTTGTCTCTGAATTTGGTACCGCATATAAGGGAATCATACAATAATTGCCCTTTTGTGTCTGGTTTATTTCATTAAGCCTAATGTTTGCAAGATTCATCCAAGTTGTAATAATGTATCGAAATTCCTATTTAAAGACAAATGTCTCATTGTATGGATTATATCATATCCTTATTTATCCATTTATCTGTCAGGAGACATTTTGGCTATGATGAATAATGCCACTATGAACATTAGTTTATATTTGTTTTACTTTTATTTTAAAAATAGGTTTTTATTGATTTTAGAGAGGATGGGAGAGGGAGAGGGAGGAACATTGAAGTATCAACATAGATCAGCTGCCTCCTGCCTCCTGCATCCCCTTGCTGGGGGTTGAGCCTGGAACCCTGGCTTGTGCCCTGACCTGGTAAGCTCTTGGTGCCTGGCGTGATGTTCAACCACATAGTCACACCTGCCGGGCTATCCTTGTTTTATTTTTAAACAATGGCACATAGTGTACATATATTTCCATTTCAGGAGACAGCATCAAGGGGTTTCAGAGAAATACGAGAAAGCTTTTGTTTATCTTTAAAAATCATATGAGAGAAGTATTTGATGACTTGGGAAAAGTGCTTTAAATGGAGAGTTAGGAAAAAGACCAGTTTTTAGCCAGTTGGTAGTAAATGGACAAGTTAAATACATTTTAGAATATAATTTTAGTATGTCATTCTGAAAGATTGCTTCCTAAAAATAATCTTCTTTAAGCATAACTAATAAAAATTACTTACATCTCCTTTTAAAATACTTCAATATTTCAGGCTGACTCTTGCTTGTGGTGGAGTAGCTCTAAATTCTTTTGAGGACCTAAGTCCTGATTGTTTGGGACATGCAGGACTTGTCTATGAGTATACATTGGTAAGTGTATTTTCTTTCCAAAGGTAATACTTTTTGGTTCATGAATTCTTCAGTAGTAAAAACTCATTCAAACTTGGGATCAGATTTATGCTTTGTTCATACACAGTTTGATGGTCCAGGTGTAGCAGTGATGCTCCTTTGGTGGGGAAGTCACATTTCTCTTACATGTGTTCTGTTTGTTTTTAAGAAATTACCTTAATGTGATTAGTGTGTTTTCTGTGAATATGCCATTTACCATTTTTTCTCTGATCATTCTTTGTACAACTATGTCTTGTTTTTTTGAAAATATTCTCTTTACATAGGGAGAAGAGAAGTTCACCTTCGTTGAGAAATGTAACAATCCTCGCTCTGTTACATTATTGGTCAAAGGACCAAATAAGCACACACTGACTCAAATCAAAGATGCAATAAGAGATGGCTTGAGGGCTGTTAAAAACGCTATTGATGATGGTAAGATTCTCACTTTATTTCAGTTGCATTCTTTTTGCTGTTCTCTAAGGCATGGCTGAATACTGTGTTCTTTTTGTCAGTAGCTTACACAGCCAGACACCATGCAAAAGTAATCTTCCCTTTAAAATGGCTATGATGGTATGCCAAGTTTTTCATAGCATATCGTTACTAAAAGTGGATACAAATAAGTTAAGAGATTGTAAGAGAGGCCCTGACTGGTTTGGCTCAGTGGATAAAGTATAAACTCTCAGTTTTGATTCCAGTCAAGGGCATTGTACCTTGGTTGTGGGCACGTCCCCAGTGGAGGGTGTGCAGAGGGCAGCTGATTGATGTTTCTCTGTCATCAGTGTTTCCAATTATCCCTCTTCGTTCCCTCTGTAGAAAAATCAATATATATATATATATATATATATATATATATATATATATATATATATTTATTTATTTATTTAAAAGAGAGATTGTAAGAGCTTCCAAGTGCCAGTTAAATCAGATCATATTATTTGATATGTTGCTTTCAAATGCAATATTAAAATTGCTGTCATTACACTGAATTTTCAAGAAAATGGTTTTCGTGTGTTATTTTAATTTTTTTTTTTTATTGATTTCATAGAGGAAGAGGGAGAGAGATAGAAACATCAGTGATGAGAGAGAATCATTGATTAAATGCCTCCTGCATGCCCCCCACTGGGGATTGAAACTGCCACCTGGGCACATGCCCTTGACTGGAATCAAACCTGGGACCCTTCAGTCCGCAGGCAGATACTCTATCCATTGAGCCAAACTGGCCAGGGCCATGTATGTGTATTTTACTTTGTTTTATAATTCCACAGTTTTCTTTATAGCTGAGCATTTTCTCTCTTCCCCCTTCCTTCCCCACCCGTCCAACAGGCTGTGTGGTTCCAGGTGGTGGTGCAGTGGAAGTGGCAATGTCACACGCCCTCGTGAAATACAAGCCCAGCATAAAGGGCAGGGCCCAGCTTGGAGTTCAAGCGTTTGCTGATGCATTGCTCATTATTCCCAAGGTCTGACTAGTGTAATAGTCCTTTTTCTAAAATGGAACAAAATGATTTCAGCTGGTGAATGTGAAAGTGTTTTGATAATGGGTTTGTTTTTTTTTTCATAATGTGGATTTTGAGTAAGTTTGATCCGTTTTCTCCCTAACACTAGAACATCCAAACGTATTTGGTTTCCCTGGAAAGGAAACTTGAATATCTGAAGTTTCAGGTGGCAAGAGATAACTATTTTAAGAGGGTTTGCAGTGTGTAGGGGATATACTTGAGTACAAACTTGCTTTTTGTTTAAACTACAATTGATATAATAATTTTCTATTGATCATTAATGGATATACTATTTATTTATTGTGCACTGACTATCAGTTCTTAAGTCCTGTATTTTAAAGGATTAAATTTGTTTTCCTTTAGGTTCTTGCTCAGAATTCTGGTTTTGATCTTCAGGAAACACTAGTTAAAGTTCAAGCAGAACATTCGGAATCAGGTCAACTTGTGGGTGTGGACTTGAACACGGGTAAGAGAATGCAACTAGCTGAAACCGTTTTGGCTCAGTGGATAGAGCGTCGCCCTGTGGACTGAAAGGTCCCGTGTTCAATTCTGGTCAAGGGCACGCACATTGGTTTTGGGCACATCCCTAGTGGGAGGGTGCGGGAGGCAGCTGATCAATGTTTCTCTCTCATTGATGTTTCTACCTCTCTATCCTTCTCCCTTCCTCTCTGTAAAAAATCAATAAAATATATTTTTTTAAAAAGAGAGAGAGAGAGAATGCAACTATTTGTAGGGGGAAACTTGTTAATATAGGTGAGGTAAAGCCAGGAAGAATCAAAAGAATCTTAGGGAGTTGCTTTGCAGTTTATTTTAGTCCTATCTGTGAACTCTGGGTTCTAAAATATAATATAAAAACAGAACGACTAGATACAGTAAGGGAATCAAATATATACATTTGAATAGTTTCAAAGAGTATGGATTTGTTGATGTTGCTGAGTGGTGGTAGATGGTTCAGTTAAATATTGAAAAGCTTCATATTGGGTTTACTCAATTTATCAGGGACTATGATATGGAAATATTGATGATCATATTCACTGATGAAAAAAGGTTGAGGGTAACAAATAATGCTGGAAGAGGGGACCAAATATAATGAAATATTTAAAGCCCTGATCTTAAGACTAGTGTAAGAGCACAAATTATGTAGGTACAAAGTGGAAGAGAGAACTGAGATCCCATTAGTACGTAAGATCTACTATTATCAACAACATTGTTTATATTTAATAAAAAGGGCTTTTGGAATGAGGAAAATGATAAGCCCATTTTGACCAGATTATAGTTCAAGTGCTGTAATTTAATATGGATAGATGTGTCCAGAAAAACAAGATGTTCAAGTATTTGGTTAACAGAATAGACAATATCTAATCAGAGATCAGTCACTTATCAAAGATAAGTCACTAATCAAAGATATTGTGCACAGGAATAAGATCATTCTGATCTTATGACCTATATATGATTTTAAGACTACTGGATTACTTTTCAGGTGAGCCAATGGTAGCAGCAGAAGTGGGCGTATGGGATAACTATTGTGTAAAGAAACAGCTTCTTCACTCCTGGTAAGTTTGAGAAAGCCAAAACTATAAAATAACCTTTAGGTAATCATCATACTCTTTTTATTTGGCATATTCTGTTTAATTCCCCCCACCCTCACCCTCATCAAAATGTAAAAAAAAAATGCAGAAATGAAACTTTTTATGTATGGAGGGGGAGAGGGACATTTAATTGGATGTAATTTGCATGATTTAGTTGAAAATTGAGTTGAATTAGGATTCTATATCTGAAATCTGAACCATCTGACTTTTTCCCCCCCCCTTTTAGCACTGTGATTGCCACCAACATACTCCTGGTCGATGAGATCATGCGAGCTGGAATGTCTTCTCTAAAAGGCTGAATTGAAGCTTCCCCTGTACTACCTGAATCATGAAGACTCTACGGAGTGATCCTAAGGATACAGCTATGGAATTTTTGTCCTGGCTTCAAATGATTTTTAAAGGAATTTTTTTTCCCCCATCTGAAGAAAGGAAAGAGCAATGGCAAACCACCTATTAAAATTCCAAAGTTTGAAATTATAATTTACGCTATTTTTTAAATTGTACTCAGTGTATGCACAACTAGCAGGCTGTTTTCACGCAATGTGCACAGAATATTTTTGCTTTAGTTTCTGTGATACTAAAACATATTAGAAAAGCATATGGTATCTACCTTATTAAATATTCCTTGAAAAACAAGTTTGGTTGTTTAATAATTTCTTCTAATGATGTATTTTAATTTATCCAGTAATTCCCTATTGAGCATTTAAGATGAAAAATTTTATGCTAATGACATTTAAGTAACAAGATTTTGAAAGCATCCCTGTTTATTTAGTACCAATTGCTGTGAGTAAAATGATTGGATCTTTTAGTGGGACATTTCATGCTTTGAAGTAACTGCTAAAATGCTCCCAGGAAAGTTAAGTGGGAGTGGGTAGAAAGATGGGTGAACTAGAGGCAAGGGAGTTGAAAGAGCTGCACATTTATAAAATGGCAAAATTAAAATAGAGGAGACAGGTTTGAATAGGCTTGAAATAATGACGACAGGCTTAGTTGAGAAGAGATGTTCAGGTAGACCATACTGTATTTTCACACCCTGGCCTTTACTTACACTGAAATAACCATCCCAAAACATCATGTCATTTTCCCTCAAGTTATTTGTGTTTTCAAAAAAATTGTTTTTTATACTGGTCAGGTGGTATGATTGTACAGTCCTTGAAGGTGAAATTGTGTTGCTAAGTTTTGTATTTTGAGGACTTGGCTACAGTGTGCAATAAATATTTAACTTGAAACCTTTTCTGTCATCTTGCATTGGTATTCCAAGGCACAAAAGGGGTTGAATATAAAAGGGAAGGAAGTTAATACAAATGTTCACAGGATCATGAAGGGGATTCTGAAGTGATAAGGCTCTTCACATTAACCCTGAGAAAATTGCTTTTTCTTAACCTGATCCCACTCTCCCGAGCTTCTGGACTTAATTACGCCCTGTGGTTGACAATGTCTAGAGGATGCGCTAGGGGGCAGTGTGGGCCGGGACGTAGTGCGTGTGCAGCGCATGCGCAGCAGAGTCATGGTGTGTGCTCAGTTCCTGGTGCGGTGCTATGAGGTCCTCACTGCTGCTGCTGTCCCTGCTGTCGCTCCTGTCCGGCCCGTGGATCGAGCTAGGTCAGTGTGCTGGCCTGCCCATTAGCCCTAGCGCCTCTGTCCCTGGGGTTACCAGGAGGGGTGGGGCGCTTTGCCCCCGTGGGGGAGACCGGAGCCCTCTGCACGCTGCCTAGCCCTAGTCGGCTTGGAGCAGCCTGAGGCACATCCCAGAGACAGCCAGCCCAGCGAGGCTATTAACAGCTCATACTGTATTTGACTTCCTTTTTACTTTTAATATTTTGGAATCTTTCGAGCATAAAGTAAAAGAACAAATTATAACTAAATGTGCCCCTTACAGCCGGAACCGGTTTGGCTCAATGGATAGAGCGTCGGCTTGGGGACTGAAGGGTCCCAGGTTCGATTCCTGTCAAGGCCATGTACCTTGGTTGCAGGCATATCCCCAGTGAGGGGTGTGCAAGAGGCAGCTGATCGATGACTCTCATCGATGTTTCTAACTCTCTATCTCCCTTCCTCTCTGTACAAAATCAATAAAATATATTTAAAAAATAAATAAATGTGCCCCTTACGTACCCATCACCCAGTTTAACAGTTGCCAAATTATGGCTAATCTTGCTTCTTTGGTAACCCACTTTCCCCTCTCCTGGGATCATGCTGAAGTGATTGCAGGCATTATACAATTTTATTCATAACTCAGCTTGAATAGCCAAAAACAAGCACACACAAAAAACACACAAAACAGCATTTTCCGCCTGCAAAATTAACATCCAGTTAGTGTTCAGATTTACCTACTGTGTTTTTTAATTATAGTTTACTTCTTGAATTAGTGTCAAAATACGTTTTATGCATTGCAATTATATGTTGTTGTTTTTTCTTAATTCCTTTTTATTCTGAGATTTTCCTGCTTGCCTCATTTCTTCTTTAGGTCCTGATTTCCCTCCTGTTAAATAAGGGGGTCAAATTAAGGATCCTTTTAATCCTTTTTGAGGCATACAAACAGCAAATATGAAGGAGTTCATCCAATTATTTTATAATAATTATTGTGCACTTGTGCTAGGGGCCAGGGATACAATGGCAAAATAGAGGTAGTCCTTTCTTTTCTGGTCTACGTGATATAATGGTCAGAACTGATAACAGTTCAACAAGTGGAAAGGAAGACAGCGAAAAACAGCATGACCAGAAGTATGGGTAGAAAGGTGCTAGATAATTTTAGGGTATAGTGTCTAGATTTACCTAGCTGGGACAGGGGCTTTGTGTAGAGGAATAGAAAGATAAGAAAATAAACATTTGTTGAAAACCTACCATGTGCTCAACGTTTTTACATTATTTGAATTCATGCAACTGTGCCTATGAGATAGATGCTATTTCCATTTTATAAATGAAGAAATTGAAACTCAGATTAAGTAATTTGCCTAAGGTCACCCAGCAAATTAAGTGGCAGAACAGGAATTTATTGCATGGGGTTTTTTTTGTTGTTGTTAATCCTCACCCGAGGATGTCTTCCCCCCCCCCCCCAAATATATTTTCTTTGATTTCAGAGAGGAGGGGAGAGGAAGAGATAGGAACATCAATGATGAGAAAGAATCATTGATTGGCTGCCTCCTGCACACCCCCTATCGGGGACTGAGCCTGTGACCCAGGCATGCACCCTTGACTGGAATTGAACCTGGGACCTTTCAGTTCACGGGCCACTCTTCAGTCCTCAGACCAGTGCTCTATCCACTGAGCCAAACCTGCTAGGGCACAAGGATGTTTTTTCCATTGACTTTTAGAGAACGTGGAAGGGAGGAGGAGAGAAACATCAACGTGAGACATTGAATGATTGCCTCCCACACGCACCCTGCCCTGGGCCAGCGTTCGAGGCTGCAGCCCAGGTGTGTGCCTTTGACCAAACCCGGAACCCTTCATTCCGAGGGCCCGTACTCTATCCTCTGAGCCAAACCAGCTAGGGCCAGAACGAGAATTTAAAGCCAAAAGTTTAAGCCTCCCATTTTTTTTTTTTAAAGAACACTCAGTTTTATGAGTATTACCCATGATCCAAATATTGCCACTTATTTTTTACATACTCATGTATTACTGATGACACTCTTTTTCCTCTGCAGGGAATGGCCAGGTGACAGGCATGGTTCAGCTACCAGGCGGGAGATTCCAGATGGGAACCAATTCACCAGATGGCAGAGATGGTGAAGGACCTGTCCGGGAGGTGACAGTAAAACCTTTTGCCATCGACATATTTCCTGTCACCAACAAAGATTTCAGGTATATCAGGTATTCTTTCAGGAGGAGTAAAGGCTCTTTTAAATTATTCTTTTTAAAAAAATTCATAAGTTTATTTTATTTATTTTTAATATGTTTTTGTTGATTTTAGAGAGGAAGGGAGAAGGAGAGATAGAAATATTAATGTGAGAAAAACGTCAATATCGATTAGCTGCCTTCTGTATGCCCCTCATGGGGGATCAAGCCCATAGCCTGGGCATGTGCCCTGACTGGGAATAGAACCGGTGACCTGTTGCTGCATGGATTGATGCTCAACCACTGAGCCACACAGGCTGGGTTCAAATCTTCATTCTTAATCTCTAGAAGGAAACCGGCTTGTTCACTATTACATATCTTTGCAATAATATTGTGGGATAAGTGTATCTATAATACTTTTTTCTCGATGAAGAATCTGAAGTCCAAAAATGTTTACCTTACTTTCTGTTAGTGGCAGACTTGAGCCTGTAACTCAAATTCCCTGATTCTTGAGCTAGTGGATTTTCCATTGCATTGGGCATAGCACTAGGATTACTGGCAAAAGTGCACACTCTGCAGAAATCTCTTCATCAACCCAAAACTCTGGGGAGGGAGGGTATGTGGGGGGGGGGGCAATGGTATATGTACACAGATAATAACTTAATTTAAAAAAAAGAAATCTCTTCATCAGGGAAGAAGGGATTGGGAGAAGGGTCGTACTAGAAAAGTGCCTTAATTCCCTTTATGTTTACTAGTACTTTGGGAAATGGTGTTTTTTAGGAGTCGAACATTGTGGTTCTAACTCATTCTAAGAAGCCAAGTTGAAACGCCTCAAGATGAAATGTTTTGTAACTTACCTTAGGTATGTGCCCTGGCTGGTGTGGCTCTGTTGGTTGAGTGTTGTCCTGTACACCAATGTTCACTGGTTCAATTCCCTGTCAGGGCACATACCCAAGTTGGGGTTTGATCCCCGTTCAGGGTATATGCAGGAGGCAGCTAATTTATGTTTCTTTCTCACATCGATATTTCTTCCTTCCTTCCTCCCTTCCTCCTTCCCTCCTTTCCTTCCTCTCTCCTTTCCGGTGCCTCTAAAGTCAGTAAAAGCATATTTTTACAAAAGATGTATAAAAAAAAATAGTACAAGGGTGATTATATGGAGAGGATGGAAGAAAGAGAGGGACTGGGAAGATAATAAAGCAAACAGCAAACGTGGGAAATGACTTAAATGTTACATTTGTCAAGTTAAAACTTTTCAAGATAAAAGATTATGGGGGAAATGGATTCAGGAGACACACTGAAATAAGCATAGGATTGTTGGTATACTCCTCATGCCCTTTGACTCAGTGATCCCACCTCTAGGGATTTGTCTAAAGGAAAGAATTAAAGTTGTCCAAAAACATTTAGCTAAAATGATGGCCTTGTAAACAACTATTAACAATTTAAGAATTATGTAAGCATATTGTATCAATATAATGATACTTAGCAGCCATTTAAAATCCTGTAGTCAAAAAGAGAATTATGAACCCAACCAGTATGGCTCAGTGGTTGAGTGTTGGCCCATGAACCAGGAGGTCTCGGTTCAATTCCCAGGACACATACCCGGGTTTAGGCTCCATCCCCAGCAGGGGGCATGCAGGAGGCAGCTGATCAATGTTTCTTTCTCATCTCTCATTGATGTTTCTATCTCTCTACCCCTCTACCTTCCTCTCTGAAACCAATAAAAATATAATTAAAATATATATATTTAAAGAGAGTTATGAGATGTTAAATGAAGAAAGTAGCTTACAAAATAATATATAGCTTATGATCCCATTTTTTAAAAAACTCTGTATATAGAATGTAGATGCATTAGAAAAGTGGAAGTGCATTAGTTAACAGATTTTGCTCATGTTTTTTGTGACTTTCAAATGACAATAATTATAGGGAAGCATCTTGTCAAATGGGATGGGAGAGTTGGGGAGTGGAGGCCAGGAATAATATGGAATGGTATATGTTAGTTGGTGTGATAATGGATGATTTTAATTTTTTAAAAATTTCTCATTTTTTTTTGGTATTTTCCCATTTTTCTACAATATCACGTGTACTACTTAGATGTGCTTTTATTAATTTTTTTTTTCCAGAGAGGAAGGGAGTGAGAGAGAGAAACATCAGTGATGAGAGAGAATCCTTGATCGGCTGCCTCCTGCACGCCCCCCACTGGGGATGGAGCCCACACTCAGGCATGTGCCCTTGGCCGGAATCGAACCTGGGACCCTTCAGTCCACAGACCGATGCTCTATCCACTGAGCCAAATCAGTTAGGGCGCTTATACGTACTTTTAAAACATATTTCAAACAAGAAAGTTGTTAAAATTAAAGGAGAAATCACTTCTGATCAGACTTGTACCATATCATGACAACCCAAAATAGATAGCTGCACAGTATGCATCTTTTAGATTTCAAATTATGACCTAGAATATGTAGTGGTAGAAATATAATGTCACCTCAAACTTGAGCTCCCAAACTTTGCTTAGAAGCCGACTTCGCCTGCCTCTCTGGTAAAAGAATCTCCGACTGTTCAGATGATCTGAGGCTGGAAAATAGCTATTGCTACCAAATCTGATCAGCTCCTCTATTCTCAGTGCCCCTCTGATGGGTGAATAAAACCTTCTTATTATCAGACAAGGCACAGACGAGGTGATAATGAAAACCATCCATCTCGCCTTAGTAATCTGTGTGCTGAGATTTGCTAAACCATACCGAGCTATATGAAAATATAATCTCAAATCTCAGCAACTCAGTTTTTTTTTTCTTTTGTTTTTGTTTTCTCAGCAACTCATTTTTATTTGAATCAGTTTCTTTATTCTGTTAGATGGAGATGATAACACCTGTTCTGCCTCCCTCTCATGAAATTATGTAAGAAAATCAGACCTTTCGGAAAAGAAATCATGCCACACCCTTAAATCTACTCAGCAGCTTTATTTATAATCTCTAAAAACTGGGGATAACCCACATGGCCTGCAGTTGGTGAGTGAGTAAACCAAATATGGTACCTCCATGCAATAGAATACTACTCAGTAATAAAAAGGAACAAACTACGGATACCTTTGACAACATGGATGAAGCTCAGAAGCATTAGGCTAAGTGAAAGAAGCCAGACCCAAAAACTACATCCTGTGTAGTTCCATTTATGTGAAAGTATATATTCCAGGAAAGGCAAAACCATTGGGACAAAAAACAGGGGCCCTGAGGAATTTGGGGGTATGTTTGATGGAACTGCTCTGGTTCTTTATATATATAATTTTTAAAAATTTTATTGTTTATGGTATCACATAATTGTCCTCATCTCCCCGTTCCCATCCCAAACCCCTCCCCACATATGCCCCCACCCCCTTTTGTCCATGGCCACTGGCTAGGCCCATATGCATGCACACAAGTCCTTTGGTTGATCTCTCCCCATTACCACCATCCTCCCCTATCTTCCCTCTGAGGTTTGACAGTCTGATCGCTGCTTCTCTTTTTCTGGGTCTGTTTTTGTTCATCAGTTTATATTGTTCATTATTTCCCCTAGATGTGTGAGATCATGTGATCCAAGAAATACCCTTGTAAGAACCGAAACTGAGACAAGCCATAATGGTTATGCTGGGAGGCAAATGAATCAGTCTGTAGTGAGTTCCTTTCTGGGCCAACAGTTCTTTTGAGTCCCAATTGCAATGTCAAACAGTTTCTTATATGTATATGTCAGCCATGCTATTTCAGATCTGGTTGGTTGCTCTGGTTCTTGATTGTGGTGGTGACTGTCTGCGTTGTCACAGTCACAAAAGTATACCCAACAAGGACTGAGTCTTACTGTAGGTGAATTACACACACAGCCACAGATTTTAAAAGAAAATCTCCTGCTCAGGGGGGTTTCAGGTGAGCTCCTTGGAGTCCATGGGACCTCTGTGGTGTGGGACTTACAGGATGAGGCTAGGTGAGCTCTTCTGAAGCAGGAGAGCGGAGGGTGGAGCACAGAACCCGGTCAGCTGAGCCCAGCGAAATCTCTCTTTCCAGGGAGTTCGTCAGGGAGAAAAAGTACCGGACAGAGGCCGAGGCATTTGGGTGGAGCTTTGTCTTTGAGGACTTTGTCTCTGAGGAGCTTAGAAGCAAAGCGACTCAGCAGATGAAGGTGAGAGAACCCGGGCTTGGAGTTGAGGGAAGGGGAGTGGGGCCTGGCCATAGCAGCCTGTGGGGCGCGGGGTCCCCGGGGCCACGGTAGACATCAGACCTGAGAGTGGGAGGCAGGGAGGAAGCGAGAGCAGCCCTCCCTGGACGGTCAGGTGAATACTCCCGCCCAGGAAGTGAGCCCTGAGCTGGTTTCCGGGTGGAGAGTCTGTAAAGATCCAGATAGATACATATGGGGCTCAAGATACATCCTGCAGGAGTCTGACAAGCCTCCCCCTAACGAGGGCTGTGAGATGTCGCTTCAGAGATCCCAGACACAGCCTCCCTCGGACGCCTTGAATCTCGGCCCAAAGGGTCTGCTCGGCCTCCTGTGTGTCAGTCAGGAAGGTTCCCGTGGTGGGTCCGAGCATCTCCCAGTCATGCTCCGGTGTTTAGTCATGCTCCTTCTTCTTTGTAGCCTGTTCTCTGGTGGCTTCCAGTGGAAAGGGCGTTCTGGAGGCAGGTAAGGGCTGGTTCCTCTACCTTGTTTTCTACCCCTGGAGGGCTGGCTTGCCCTAGACCCCTTGCCCATCTAGGAATACTGAGTTAAAAAGGAGATGTTTTGGGAAAACAGCCAAGTAACCCTCTTTCCTAGTCCTCTTCCCATCACCCATCCCATTTTTCTTGTCCGTCTCATGTGTAGTCTCTTCGTTCTGGACCTCTCCTCGCTCACCAAACTCTCTTCCAATTTCTTTGCTTCCCCTCGTGTTAAAAGCAGAACCTAGGTCCCCTAAGCCTAGCCTTCCTCAGACTTCCCTGAGTCCCCAGAGCCTGTCTCGTTTCCTCCTGGCTGCCAGCCTGCAGGTCCCGGCTCCGGCATCCGAGAGAGACTGGAGCTCCCCGTGGTACACGTAAGCTGGAATGACGCGCGGGCCTACTGTGCGTGGCAGGGGAAGCGGCTGCCCACCGAGGAAGAGTGGGAGTTTGCTGCCCGAGGGGGCTTACAGGGTACGGAGACACCAAGGCGATGCCCCTTCGTTCCTCTCTCCAGCCTGCCCTGCATGGGGGTCTTTAAAGAGTGGGAAGGGTCCATGCTCCCTAGAGCTGTGCTTCTTAGAGAATGTGGGGAAGGACCAGTTGCTGCTGTTGTTTTTATTTCTAACCTATCTCAGACCAATAGTGTGTAAAATACCATAGAAACTAATACCTGGAAAAATGGAATGAAAAACAACCAAAATTTTTTAACTTGTTGGAGATTCTACGGACATGTCATGTTTCAAAAAAATACAATCGGACCAACATAGCATAAAGGAGAAGAGTTATCCAAATCACATGCCTTTTCCATGGGTGTATCAGGGTTATTATTTTAAAAAAAAATTGTCCTTTGCTCATAACTTAGTTGTTCTGCAATGCTCCCTGAAAAAAGTTATGAGAGTGAAATAGCAACGTCCCATATTTCACCTCTATAGTTTGAATGAACGCTGGCTATACCAGTAGTCAAAGTTATTAATGTGAGAAGGAGGTTGATTGTTCGTTTAGCCAATCGAAGTCCAATGAACAAGTTTCTCAATGGTTACTCTCAATTTCTGCACTGATCTCCACATGCACTGGTCACCGGTGGTTTACAGACGCATTGGTCAGAACCACACCTCAGGCTGCACTGCCCTGGGGTAATGCAGGAGGCGGGGCTCTGAGTGCAATGCCGTGAGTGGAAGGGATGGGCATAGGCTATTAAAATAACCTCCTTTCGGTTCCCTCACTCTCTCTGTCTTTCCCAACTCTTCACCTCTCCTCCAGTGCTGTCTCCTTGCCCTCCCGCAGGCCAGGCTTATCCCTGGGGAAACAAGTTCCAGCCAAACCGCACCAACCTGTGGCAGGTAAGACCCGCACTCCTCACTCCTGCCCTTTCTCCGAGCTTCGAGGCCTGCTGTGGGCTAGGCATTGTGGTAGGTGGGGGATTCAGAGGGCTGTGTCCCAAAGCTGGGAGAGGGGCGAAGCAGAGGACCAGGCGGTAGTGCAGAGTGCGTGCGGGAGGAAATCATTCATTGCCTGAGAGTACAGAGGGGACATTTGAGCTGATCTGATAGGAGTTTGCTTAAGTGAAAAGAGGAGGAAAGGGTGTGTCAAGAGCATGAGCGTTGCCATTGTATTAGGAGAGGGTACTGTGTGTTTGGAAACATGTCACATTCAGGGAGGCTGGAGCGTAGGGAAATGGTGGGGGTTGGGGGGGGCAGTGTTAGGAGATGAGGTAGACAGTGGGTTGGAGGCAGATTTTGGAGCAGATGCGCCAAGATAGGGTTTTATTTATTTATTTATAATATATATTTTATTGATTTTTTACAGAGAGGAAGAGAGAGGGAGAGTTAGAAACATCGATGAGAGAGAATCGTCTATCAGCTGCCTCTTGCACCCCCCCACTGGGGATGTGCCCGCAACCAAGGTACATGCCCTTGACCGGAATCGAACCCGGGACCTTTCAGTCCGCAGGCTGATGCTCTATCCATTGAGCCAAACCGGTTTCGGCCAAGATAGGGTTTTAGATTTTACCCTCTGGGCAGGGGGAACCAAGGGAGGTTGTTATAGGGGAGTAACGGCATCAGATGCCGACTTGGGGGAAGCTAACTGTTGCTGACTGTGAGGCCCAGATGGAGTGGAGCTGCAGAGGTGGCTTATAAACACTGGGATGAAGTGGGAGTGGGATAGAGAGGAAGCCCCATGGGAGGGAGAGGCATGTCTGAGAAGACAGACACGGTTTGGTAATTAACTGAATGTGGAGGGGAGGAAGAGAGTTGGACTCAAGCCTGAATCCAAGCTTGGGCAACAGAGTGATGGTGCCACCATTATCCATAGAGATAATATGCTTGTTGGGTCAGAGGGATAGAACTTGGTCAGTGTAGGATCAGCTTAGCTTAGGATGCCTTTGGGTCTTTTATATGTTCAGACAGAGGTTGAAAATATGAGTCTGAAACTTAGGACAGAAGTCTGGGTCAGAGCTGGTAGCTTGCGAGTCATAAGCACGAACCTTAGGAAAGAATGGCCCCGCCCGCGCGCACTGGCCAGGAGACTGTGGAGTGAGGGGGGAGCTCAGCCTCGGCATGTTAGGGGGAAGCATTGAAAGGGGCCTGCGGGGGAGACGGGACCTTTCAGACTGGACCACGGCTTTGCAAAAAGAGAAATATGACAGACACTGTTTGATATTTGATAAATTGACCATTTTGAACCTCAGCTGCTAGTTTCTTAAAGGGAGAGGACACTTGCCTCACAACCTTGCAAGGATTAAATTAAAAGACGTAAGTGTAGCAGCCCTAGCACATAGTAGTTGTTAATTATAGCCCCTTCACCTTTCCTTTCATAAGAGCGATTTCCATAGAGTCGTGGCAGCTGAACCCAGTTTTAATGAGAGGCGTGAACAAGTGAAATAAATTGCACTGGTTACTTTTTGAAGGGTTTTGGTGGTTAAGAGCAAGAGATGAGAAAGGTACAGTGAGGGCAGATGAGGCAGAGTTACACCTGTTGGTGGTGGAAGAGAAAGAGGTGGCTCCTGAGAAGGTGGAGGGAGGGTGCAGGGCATGGAGAAGGAGGGGAAGAGCCTTTCTTCCCAAGGCTCCGAGCATGGGGTTCGAGGCCGAGGGGACGAAGTCTGAGAATGGAGACAGTGGGGGTGGGATGGGCCACAGCGAGCACAGGGAAACCACTTCCTGATCCAGCGGGAGGCCGTGGAGGACCAGAGGCAGCTGGTTTGGGAGCTCAGGTTGGGAACCTCCGGTCACTGCCACGTGCCCTTCCCCCCCTGTTCCAGATGACCTTGGTTTTCCCGTGGGCAGGCAGGAACACCTGCCATGGGACAGGATAGTTAGTCTTTTATTCTGAATCTCCTCTCCTCAGGGGAAGTTCCCCAAGGGTGACAAGGCTGAGGACGGCTTCCACGGGGTCTCCCCAGTGAACGCGTTCCCCCCGCAGAATAACTACGGTAAGAGTTCTCATCGGGTCCCCACCCGCACTCACACAGGGCTGGCGGCTGGCGGGAGCGTGCTGCCCGGTGGGGGAGGCAGAGAGAAGCTCCCGGGGCAGCGCTTGCTCCCAGGGCTTTGGCGGCTGGCAGGTGTGCCTGTGCTTCCCAGCGGGGAGCTGACCCACCTGCCGCGCTGCAGGCCTCTACGACCTCGTGGGCAACGTGTGGGAGTGGACAGCGTCACCGTACCAGGGCGCAAGCCAGGATATGCGTGTCCTCCGGGGGGCATCCTGGATCGACACGTCCGACGGCTCTGCCAACCACCGGGCCCGGGTCACCACCAGGTGAGGAGCTTGGTAGCTGAGGGCTGAGGGGCTGGAGGCTGCCTCCCAGAGCCTGGGGTTGGCACTGCTTCCGCGTCTCTGCTTCCACCAGGAGATGTGGGTTCGGGGAAGGAAGCAGGCAGCGCTTGCTGGGAAACACAGAACAGCCCAGGACAACTCGTGCCTTTTCTTCTCGGCTCTCAGCACCCAGGGAGGCTCTGCGTCCAGCATCTCAGTTCCGTGTTAGCGGGTGTGCGGAGGGAGGGAAGTAGAACGGCCACATGAGTAGGGCGTGGCCACGGGGCATGGAAATATTGACTCTTCAAACAGGCGGGCACACGGAACCTCATTCCTACAACCATTCTGATCTGCGATCGAGTTAAAACGGCCCAGGAGGGGCCTGGGACCTGCGCGTTTCACACAGGTGGTTAGTGGCGGCACAGGGGTGGAAGAGTCCCAGGCTCCTGGTCCCCTCCTGGGACTTCCTGCTTCGTCTGCCTGAAGGTTTATTTTGGTTGATCTCCCTGGAACTTCTCCTACTCTTTGGCTCCGCAAGGACTGTAGAGGCCACTCAGGATATCAGATTTGCAGGTGTTTTTTTGATCCACAAAGGCCCCTGAATTCCCTCACTTTTTTTTTTTTTTTTTTTTTTTTTTTTTAGGACAAAGTGGTAGAAAAAATACTGGCCTAGAAACCAGGAAATTGGGTTTGACATTGGTTCTGTTGTGCTGCTGAAGCAGTAATTCGCCTTGGGCAAGACATTTAACTCTTTCTGGTATCTGCTCCTGGGCCTCTAAAATGGTGAACACATCCTGCCTTCCAGAGCAGTTGGGAAAGGGCAAAGGAGGGAATTCGCGTGAAACTTCTTTGAAAAGTATGGAGAACTGATTGGTGCTGTGATAATCTCACTTATTGCCGACAGGTGGTTTTTTTTTTTTGGCTGAGTTACTCCCAACTACCAAAGTCACAGTTACTAGCCATGGCCTCTCCTGCCTCCCAGCTCAGTCTCTCAGGACCAACAGTCACTTCCTCCGCCCGGTCCCAAGGCCACTTCCTGTCTGGGGACTGCCCTCTGACCAGGCTTCTTTCCAGACCACGCCCTCCCCTCTTGGCCACGCCCCCAGACCGCAGCAGGCTCTGGGAGGTAGAACAGGAAAGTTGGGTTAAGGCCCAAGGCCCCTTTCTCAACATGTTCACTCTCTCCCCTTCTCTGGTGGCAGGATGGGCAACACTCCAGATTCAGCGTCTGACAACCTGGGCTTCCGCTGTGCTTCCGACATAGGCCGACTGCCTGGGGAGCTGTGAGCACCCACACGCAGCCAAGAAGAGTGCCCCATGGTGTCCATGCCACTCGCTGGCCACCTTTCAAACAGCCAAGGTCTTCAACGTCCACCTTCCCCTCCTCCACCCCTTGACAGGCACCTCTCACCTGGTGGGCAGGTGGGCAGGTGGGCGGGAGAGGCCTCTCCCCTCAGGGGAGACCACGTGTCTTGGAGAAGGGCCCCAGCTCACTGACTGTGGCTGGGAGCGGGGTGTTTTTAATTAGAGGTCAAAGATCACCCGTACCATTGGGGCAGAGCCCTCTTCAAGGCAGTTTGTTAAAGCCATTTTAAGTCTGCTCCCTCCCCCTTTCTCGATGCCTGATTCGGGGACCTGACATCGTCTCTCAGGGCAGAATTTCCCCAGTTCTCTGTTTGCCCAGCAAATTGCTGTGGAAGGGAAAGGCTTCCTGCATTCGTGGAGTGTTTCTGAGTGCCTCTGAAGGAACTTGGTTTCCGCTCTCTGTATGTGAAATGGAGAAGCGTGGGCTCTTTAACGCGCAGTCCAGTCCTCACAGGGCATTTGCCAGGCCAAACCGTGCCTCCTGCGAGTCACAAAGTAAATGATGCTCCACAAAGACAAACACGAGGAGTGTCCCTTTCTGTTGTTCATCACATCGGGGCTCCCTGATGCCTCTGGAAACCTGTCCCCTCGAGCAGAACCTGCTCCCGTGGTGTCACGGTGAGGTCAGCGAACTCTCCTGTGAGTGTGTATCTCAGTCGGCTGTCTGTTTGCCCCTCACCCCGGGACCCTAGGGGAAGTGCGTCCGAGGGTCAGTGACAAGGGGCCTCCCCTGAGCAGAAATGAGACGGTGGTGCCACCGGGAGGTGGAGGAGCGGGAAGGCTCCTGGCGGTCAAACCATGTGCATCCAGTGCCCCCCTCCGTGGCCAGGCCCCAGCTGCATCGCGATGGGAGCGCCTTTCGCTGTGCAGAGCCGCTGAGGGGAGAGTGGCCCAGGTCCCGGGGCCCTGGCCTGGACCAAGTGCCTCCCCTGCACAGTCTCATTCCTTTGACGAGTGTTTCTGTGGCTTCCCCTTCCTGCCTGCCCCCACCCCACCCCTCCTGCCGGCACCTCAGTCGTCCTTCTCCGCCGCGGAGAGCAGCACAGCCTTGGGGGTGTTCTCGAAGAGCGCGGCCCGGTTCTGCTCCTGGCCCTTCTTCACCCAGTGGCCGTACATGCGGAAGGCCGAGGCGTCGATGAGTCGGCGCAGGGGCCGGAGGGAATAGGGGTCACGCATGACCATCTCCCGGGTCACGGGCTTCACCCGGTGGTACTGGGAGTAGATCCGCACGGAAGCCAGCACTGTCAGGGCGATCACCTGCGGAGGGGGGGGCCGGGACTGAGAGCCGGGAGCAGCCCCCCACTGGCCCGTCCCAGTGTTCCCCCAGGTCCTGCCCTCCCGGTGTGGGCAGGCATGGAGACTGTCAGGTGACAGCTGTCTTCCCTGGAGCCAGAGTTCTGGGAGGGGAAGGGCAGTGCCCTGGAAACCCTCGCGGTGTGAGTAGGGATCCCAGGTGGCGAGTTGGGGGGCGAGGGGAGGCACTTGGGCTGCAGGGCCCTGGATGGGAAGGGAGCATCAGTACCTTGAACTTGCCCCGGGGGCTGAAGTGCCGCACCTCCTCGGCGTCATACTGCTGGAAGAAGGGGTGCGCCAAGGCCTCTTCCGCGGTGAGGCGGCCCTGGGGGTTCACCACCAGGAAGCGGGAGACCTGAGGGAACGGGGTGGGTAGTGAAAACAGCAGGGCAGGTCCCCTGCCAGCATGTCAGAAGCTGTGGGGTCTCCTGGCAGACCCCTCCCTCCTGGGCCTGGCACGCTCCCCCTCCTCTCCCCCCACGGTGGACTGCCCCTCGCCTGAGCTCAGGAGCCAGCGGGCCTGGCCCCTCACCAGGTCTTTCACGGTGTCTGAGTAGTCGTCCCACTCGGGTGAGCCAAACTGGTAGTTGCCACTCATGATCATCCTCAGCATCAGCATCTGCTTCCGGTGCCAGAAGGGCGGGGAGCCGGCCAGGAGGGTGTACATGATGACCCCCGTGCTCCACCTGGCACCGGCGGGTGGGAGGAGGGAGGCAGGGGGACTGACTGTGGCTCCAGCCGGGTCCTCCCCTCCCCAGCCAGGTGTCCCAGCCGTGGTGGCATCCCTGTCCCTTCCCCGCCAGCACACTCACATGTCCACCTCCTTCCCGTAGCCCGGGTGGTCGCTGTTCATGGAGCACTCGATGATCTCAGGGGCCAGGTAATTGGGGGTCCCACAGATCTCTGCGGGAACAGTTACCGTCAGGGCAGGTCAGCCGCCAGAGCTGGCTTATGGAGCCACCACCTTGGGGCCCGTCGGCTCCCTGGTCACATCTAACTATTAAAAATACATCTTATTGATTTTTCACACGGAGGAATGGAGAGAGATACAGAGTTAGAAACATCGATGAGAGTCATCGATCAGCTGCCTCTTGCACGCCACCTACTGGGGATGTGCCCTTGACCGGAATCGGACCCGGGACCTTTCAGTCAGCAGGCTGTCGCTCTAACCACTGAGCCAAACCGGTTTCGGCCACATCTAACTGTTGTGGCCTAGAGCTCAGGCAGTGGGAACCTGGCTGGCCTCAGCCCTGAGAAGAGGACCTACCTGCAAAGGCACCTAACCCGGAAATGATAGGCCTCTTATTCTGGGGGAATCTAAGGGCGGACCCCTGACAATCTCTGTTCCTGGGAGAGTAGGTGAGAAAGCCTGAGCCGCCGGTACGGGCCCAGGCCCGGTTACCGGACCTCGGAGCTTCTCCCCTGGCTTCAGCTGGCAGGAGAAGCCGAAGTCTGTGAGCTTGATGTTCATGTCATCGTCCAAGAGGATGTTCTCGGGCTTCAGGTCCCGATGCACGATGTCGTGTTTGTGCAGCGTGCGGATCACCTCCAGCAGGGCTCTCATGATCTTCCTGGGGCGGACAGGCGCGCGTCACTGTCTCCTCTGCAGGGTCAGGGGGCGGGCAGGGCGACCAAAGCCCCCACACCAGCCTGACTGCACACGGGAGGGGGCAGGCTGGGAACCCGGGGCTGAGCCTCGGAGGGAGGTCACAAAGCCAGCGGTGCACGCCCCCCGGAGGCCTGGGCGCCTGTGGCCCTGGGACTCGGGCAGGGAGTGGGGAGAGGGGCCAGCGGACCCTCACCTGGTTTCCTTCTCACTCAGGGTGACCTTCTCATTGAGGTAATCAAAGAGCTCCCCCTTCTTCATCCTGTGGTGACAGAGGGTTTGTAGCTGGGTTGATCCTTCCCAGCCTGCTCCCAGAGAGCTCTTTCTCACCCTCACCCCTCCGAGGCAGAGGACCGAGGTCTGCAGGGAGGAGCTGGGAAGCGAGGGGAGAGGCTGCCTGGGAAGACTGGGAGAAGAGCAAGGGAGGCTGGCGGGGTGGTATGGCGCCAGTGTGAGGTTCTCTCCCATCGGTGGGAGTGACAGCACGGACACATCTGTCAGGGCCAAAATCAAGGGCTGGGAGATGGAAAACTGGCCCCCTGCCCTCCAAGGGCCCAGACCCAGATCAGAAGGACAGGAGTATCCTAGTATTTTTCAGGCGCAAATGGAAGGAGTGTTGAGTGTTGGAGGAGCACTGTGTCTGTTAGGATTAAAAATTGCAGTTCAGCCGGGCCAATGCGGTTCAGTGGTTGAGCATCGACCTCTGAACCAGAAGGTCACAGGTTCAATTCCTAGTCAGGGCACAGGTCAGGGCACATGCCCGGTTGTGGACTCAATCCCCAGTGGGGGGCGTGCAGGAGGTAACTGATCCATGGTTCTCTCTTATCATGGGTGTTCCTATCTTTCCCTCTCTGAAATCAATAAAATAAATGAATGAATGAATGAATGAATGAATAAATAAATAAGAATTGCAGCTCAATCTTCTCACTTCTTTAAAATATATTTGAATTTTTACAGGGAGGAAGGGAGAGGGATAGAGCTAGAAACATCGATCAGCTGTCTCCTGCACACCTCCTACTGGGATTGTGCCAGCAACCAAGGTACATGCCCTTGACTGGAAGTGAACCTGGGACCCTTCAGTCCACAGGCCGACGCTCTATCCACTGAGCCAAACCGTTTGAGGCTCTTCTCACTTCTTGGGATGCTCTATAAAGAGGTCTCCATTAGAAAAATCTAGTTATAACCTGGAGGGCAACTTGGGGCAGCATTAAAAATAGATTCCCCAAGTAACTCTTCAAAGGTTAGGGACATCTGAGCTGTCCCAAGGACAGGGCCACTGAGCGGAGCTGGGACAGCTGCGGCTGGTCCGGTCTGGAGGGTCCCTGGGAAAGTCTCCCGGCGTTAAATAGGAAAGGTGCATCCTGCCCCTTCTCCCCTGCTCCTCCGGGGGAAGCAGTTGGGTTCCTAGGGCACAAGGGAAGTTGCTGGAGTCACAGAGAGGCAAGAGAACCACTGAGCTTAGCAGGGAGAGGGGTTCCATCTGAAGAAACAACAGATGTAAGCCTTGCTTTATACAATGTCTGTACTGTTCCTAAAAAGCAACACGTGGATCCCGTTTTTGTCGTTTTAATCCCAATGTAGAGACACTAGAAGAACTCACTATTGGCGGCGGCAGCAGCAGCAGGTTTACCTGTAAGTACTGGGGACTGTGCAGGCTCTGCCTTCCCGGAGCTGGCCGTTTAATTTAGTGCACACAGGCCAAGTTACGTGGTTTCTCCAAGCAAAACCATACTTCAGTCTGGCCACCATAGGAAATGTTCCAACAATACAAAGTCTACCTGAAGAATTATCTCAAGAAACCCGGCCCCTAAATTAGCTGTTGTATATGGAGAAATCAAGACACCCCTTTAACAGTGAGCCGTGCAGAGGGATTTCTGTTCTTCAGCGAGGACTCAGTGGAGTGGGGCAACAACAAGCCAGGGAGTTCTTTTTGCTGGGAACCTTTTCTAACAAAAGTGGCAACAACGCCCTGGCCAGTATGGTTCAGTGGATAGGGCATCAGCCCAAGGGTCTCAGGCTTGATTCCCAGGACACGCCTCTGGATTGTGGGCTTACTCCCTGGCCCAGTCAGGTGCATGTGGGGGGGGGGGGGGGCAGCCAGTCATGCCTCTCTTACATTTCTCTCTCTTTCTCTCCCTCTTCTCCTCTCCCTCCCTTCCACTCTCTCTAACAATCAATGGCAAAAAGTATCCTTGGGTGTAGATTAACAACAAAATAAGGAAGGAAGGAAGGAAGGAAGGAAGGAAGGAAGGAAGGAAGGAAGGGAGGGAGGGAGGGGAGGGGAGGGGAGGGGAGGGGAGGGGAGGGGAGGGGAGGGAGGGGGGGGGAGGGGAGGGGAGGGGAGGGGAGGGGGGGGGAGGGGGGGGGAGGGGAGGGGAGGGGAGGGGAGGGGAGAGGAGAGGAGAAAGAAAACCTCCAGCCCATAGGTGGTGGACCCAGGATCCAAAGCCTGGTAGCCTGACCCCAGGGGCTGACCTGCCTAAAGCACTTGTGATCCTACTTGACATCTACAGTGTAGCTGTATGGGTGGGAGACCACAATATGACATTCTCCGATGAGCCCTGGGGTATGGCTGGGTCCAGGGCTGGGTACTTACAGGTCAAACACCAAGAAGAAGAAAG